TGAAAAGTTAAATAATTATACATATAACGATATTATTTATACGCGTAGGCTAAAAAATGCAAATATTATAATGACGATGCAAAGAAGAAACCGACAATATTTAGTAAAATGGACACGCCTTGGGATATTGAAGACTTGGTGTCGTTAGGCAAAGAAGTCGGGACCTGTCCATATTTCGGTGCAAGAGTTTTGATGGCCGACGCAGAAATTATCTTTTGTCCGTACAATTATATCCTGTATCCAGAAATTCGCGATAGCGTAAGCAAAATTAAATTGTTACTAATAAAGAAGTTACTAATAAAATTTAGAATCAGTAAATAACTCTGAATAATTACATTAAAAATAATTCATCAATAGGGATGCTTAACAGTTTAAATCTTTTCATCTTAAATGCATAAGTACTATTTTCCACAGTATTAAATATCTAACAATAAATGTAATAAATAATTATATAATTAAAATATATATAGATGCAAATCAATCTAAGAGGTAATATCGTGATTCTCGATGAGGCTCATAATATCGAGAATATATGTCGAGAAGCTGCCACTGTGGATATCAGAGATGACAAACTCTTAATTGCCGTTAAAGAATGCAAACATTTTTTGGACATGGACTATAAGAGTATCACTTATGCTACCATACACGAATATCTCACAGATCTTATAAAATTTCTTAATGATATTGAAGTCAAAGATAATGTGAGCATATATATTTATCAAAAAATAAAACATTAATTTTTGTTCTTACATTAATTTTGCGTGTCATTATGATTTATTTAAACTTTCATTTCGTACCTTAGGTATTTATTAACATATTATGAAATAGTTATAATCGTTATTTTTACTTATTATAGTAAAATGTATACGCTTTAGGATCGTAACGAAATGGTCAGTAAGCATTGGGTTGGTGCCGTATTCCGAGAATTGCTCAACGTAAATGAGATCGGATGTCCTAGATTTCCCGATTTTATTGCTGCTAGTAAAATAGCTATAGACGATTTCAAACAGAATATGAAAGAAGAGAATTCTAAAAAGATAAATCCCACTATTTCGCAAGAAAGTAAGAAACTTCTTGAGTATCTCTGTTTCGGTATGCAAATGATTGCATCAGATAAGGTTGATGACTATAGGATGTGTATCGTAGAAACGAATGAATTTATTGAAAAGGTATGTCTGAGCAATTCGTCTGTGTAATTATGATCTAATAATTCTATCAAACATCGTGTAATAATTTTTTATCAGGTAACCGAAAATGACTGGTTCTCGACAACCAAAAAATTGACCAAAGTACGAACTATGATATTGAAATGTATGAATCCAGCTATAGTTTTTGAGCCTTTGGCTCATGAAGTTCGTTCTGTAATACTCGCTTCAGGTACTTTGACGCCAACTGTGTCGTATCAAAGCGAACTCGGGACGAAATTCTCATATATAATCAATCCTGATCATATTATACCTAAGAATCAATTATATATAAGATACATACCACAGGGACTAAGTGGAAAACCTTTAAAAGCCACATATGATCAGGTAAACACCTGGGCTTTTCAGGTAAGGAGAAACGGATTGTTAATGATTTTATTTTAGATATATTCACGCTATATGTATATGAATATCTGAACAATTCTCTCATTCTAACAGGATGAACTCGGTAATTTGATTCTTCAAGTATGTGACGCGGTGCCATTTGGTGTACTATGTTTCTTTTCGTCCTACAAGGCAATGAACACCATACACAATAGATGGAGGAATAACGGCATATGGGACAAACTCTCCAACTTGAAGACAATTTTTGTGGAGCCGAAATATGAAAAAGATCTAAACCCAGTCATGAAAGCGTATCGTAGAGTGATTGAAGAATCGCTGTCTGAACAGTATCAAACAGTACGCGGAGCTATTTTCTTTGCAGTTTTTAGAGCAAAGGTGGCGGAAGGAATAGATTTCAGCGATAATGAGGCTCGTTGTGTATTAGCAGTAAGGAATATTTTTTATATTTATTTGATTTATATATCACACACACACACACACACACACACATTTCTAATATTATATCTTTACGTTATTATAGATTGGCATACCTTATCTTTTACAAAGCAGTGATGTAACCATGAAAATGGAGTATAATAACTTGAATAAATCCAATGAATCTAGACAGTTGCTATCTGGTAGCGAGTGGTATACTGTAAATGCGTTTAGGGCGCTAAATCAGGCAATAGGTCGTTGTGTCAGGCATAAAAATGATTGGGGTGCTGTACTATTAGTAGATAAAAGGTATGTATAGGTATAAATATTTAGAAATAGTTAAAACTTAATTATATTACGATAATTTATAGATTTGAGCTGCAACAGAACATCAACTATCTACCAAAATGGGTAAAAACAAATGTACGTCTCAAAATAAGCTATATTTACAATCTGCAGGTACTTATAATTCACTTATATTACAGATAAAATGTAACCAGATTTCCAAACTGGAAATGGAACTTCAAGATTTTGTAGTCATGCAAGTTGCACGTGAAAAAGAAGAAAAAGAAAAATTATTAAAAAATTAAGACTTTCTTTTAGGATATATATAACGAAATCTATATGCGCTGAATAAAGAACTTTTTTTTTGTTAAAATTTTTTTAAATGATTGTCTAACAAATAATTATAATGTTATGTATTTAAGTATTCTATTTATACATGATTTTATTCAATATTACATATTAGTTGTGTCTCTCTTTTCGATCATTCTTAATTGTTTTTTCTTCATCCTTTTTATCTTTGCAGTATTTTTAATCTGAAAATGATCATACAATAAGAGTTTTAAAATATATCCAATAAATGCATGCCTTGTTAAATAAAAATGATATTAACATTGACTTACAATTTGCACAATTTCGCTCTTTTTTCTATTTTCCTCTGCCTTTTTTAAATTTTCTCTCCTTCGTTGCTTCTTGGCCTCCTTTTCTGCTTGCTTTTGTGCCTTGATTGCCCTTGACATCTCTTTAACGCGTTTCAGATCTTCTCTCAACTTTTGTTTCTTAGCAAATGACTGTCGAATTCCACGTGTTTTAATTATAGAAGAAAATCTACAAACAAACATTTGCATTACTAATTTTTTTTTGCTCATTAGACAAAACGTTAGGAATAGTTAATTATTATTCGGCAGAAATTTCAAGTACATTAAAATTTTTGTTCTATTAACTGAAATTATATTATGAATGGGATATTGAATAGTTCAGTACTGGAGTAGTTTCTTGTCAAGCAAAGCTTCAAAGTGAAAATTTGTCAAAGAATTTATTATACAATCTCTGGCGAAAATTTTTTTTATAATTTTTATACGAATTGGAACATTTTTCTCTTCAACAGTTTACATCTTCCCTCAAAATTTTTCATACATGTGAATTCTGAAATATTCTGAAATTTCTCACCCCATTATTTTTAAAAAATATTTTTAAATTTTTTAGATTTTATAACATCAGAAATTGTACTTACAAAAAAATTTTAGAAATCTTACAATATTTCATAATAACATATATGAAAAATTCTGAGAAAAGACGTAGATTTTCTGAGAAGTGTTCCAATTTGTATAAAAAATATGAGAAAGTTATAAAATTATATAGAAATTCTGAAAAATTATATGAAAAATTCTGAGAAAAATTTTCATCAGGGATGTGTTAAAAATTACAACTATAACAAAACTAGGAAATAATCAAAGTCTAGATCATGGTTTTTCTCAAATGATAATAGTTGAAGAAGAATTGATAATTATTGAAGGATTATATTGTGAATAATTATATTATTGTTATTGAAATTGTAACTTACTTGGTTTTTTGTTCCTTCCATATCCTACCAGATTTTGGTTTACCTCGTGGAATATTTTGCCTCTCGCGTTTCTCAGTATTAGGCAACGGTTCTAGTGTAGGTTTATTCAGCACCGATGCTGTATTCAATATATCTTCCATACGCGTTATTTTTTCGTCGCAGAGATTTGCCATTGTTCGGAAGTATTAATAAAACGTGCACTTTTAAAATGCTACGGCATGTAAACAATTTTCTCATAGGTTAGTTTAGTCGATTACATTGTATCGCCGACTACAGAGAAGCGGACGATAAGCGAAGCACGAATCGTCACGCCGAACTATATTATCAGCGATCGAAAATGTTAGTATAAAATATATTGTATATAAAAAGTTTGACATAGAAAAAGAAAACAACTCTTTATTTAATAATTATTTTTTTCATCTCTGTTTTCTATTTCTTATTTAACATTTCATTTATTAAACAATGTATGTTTGGAGACACTGGTAGTGTCTCGGCGTTAAGCAACGCGTTCAATACTTTATTCATAATGGTTTAAACTTACTTGGGTACGTATGTTAATAAATTGTTGCGAGAAGTGTATTAATTAAATTTCTTCTGATAAAATTTTTTTTCTTGAGATTTTGAAATTAATTTTTCTTTCTCCAAAAGAATCATCATTTGCAACCAATTATATACTTTGTAATTTTTAATTTCTTGATGAAAAATTTTTCTTAGAATTCTTATAATTTATCCAATTTTTTGTGTAATTTTATAAAAATTTCTTAAATCTTTTATATGAATTTAGAACATTTTTCAGAGGTATCGAGAAAGTTTAAATTATTTTTTAAAGCATTCTTCATATATATAAATTTTAAAATTTCTGAGATTTTTCATATAATTTCTAAACTCTGAAAAAGTTTAAAGTATTTTATCAGAAATTTTCATAAAAAATTTTATATAAAAAATATAACAAATTCTTGAATTCAAAAAAGATGCGAGAGATAAGGATTTTTTTTATTAGAATTGTCTTTACAGATAATCAAATTTCTTAAATACCTTGTATATGGATGGACGAGAACTCTATTCTTTATTATCAGGTGATATATACCATCATATAGTAATAATTCATTCAAAAACTACTGTTAACCTATACGTATATTACATAGAGGGCTAATAGTAACATGATTTTTATTTTAGTCAAACATGTGTATTTGTGTTGATAGTGGAGTCACTATTTTTTGTGTGTAAAAATACAATTTTTAAAGGTTCGAACTACCAGAATTTTCATGCAACAAATTGACAATTACACGTCTAAATACGTATATTAAAAATAATGGAGTCCTTACAAGAAATTTCTGAATATTTAAGCCCTAATACCCGATTTGATGTAAAAATCTGTGCATTAAACCACGTGCTCCGTATGTATATTTTATATATCTTACTACTATATTTGTTCACTTTACAAAAATCTCGACAGCTCATTCAAAATGTACACAGGTATAACGGCGACTACAGATGGTCGAGAACTCCTGTTGAAGTTACCAGAAATGTTGATACAACTTGTTACCTTTATACAAGATTCTTGTGCTGCCATTAGCAAATGTGCTGCACAGATATTAATAAATATTACTGGAGATGAATCAGGAACTAATGCAATGTTGATTATTTCAGAATCAAGTAACTCAACAGAGATCAATAAGTCTGGTAAGTAAAACGTTAGCGATATAGTAGTGCATTGATAGCAGATTCAATTAATTGACATTAATTGTATTTGCATTAAACTTCTGTTCTGTCAGCCGAACTTTCGATAATCTGATGACAAATTGACAACATAAAACGAAAAGAATTTAGTTATTTTATAAATAATACATTTTGAATAATTATAAAATGAGATTCTTTTTGATTGTGTTGACTGAATAAAAATTTATAGCAGATATTTACACAGTTTATTTTTGACAGATTTGGTTACTCAAGAACCTAGTCAGAATTTAATAAAAGTTTGTTTGAGGTAATATATTATTGTTTACTTATTGCTGTTTTATTCTATCTATATCAAATATTTTACATGTTATTTTTACAGGGCTATAATGGATAAATCTAGTATTATGGCAGATTTATGTTGTATGATACTTTCTAATATGACTAGACCATTTCATCTAATAGACCGAATGATAACACTTATTGAACAAAGTGATTACTCTTGGGATGAAATATTATCTGTATTTACTGCAAAACAGTATAATACTAAAGGCGATAAATTGCACTATCTTGGACCTGTTTTTAGCAATCTAAGTCGATCGCCACGTATAAGAAGGTATTATTTAATGAAGGTATTATTGATTTTTATTTCAGTAAATTATATTGTAAATAAATGTATTTTATTATAGATATTTGATGGATCGACACCGTTGCGTTATTCAACGGATTCTTCCATTCACGGAGTATTCTGACAGTCTAATTAGACGAGGTGGTATTGTTGGTACTTTAAAAAATTGCACTTTTGACACAGAAAATCATGTGTGGTTGTTAAGCCCCGAAGTAGATTTATTATCATATCTATTATTACCACTTGCTGGTCCAGAAGAATTTGACGATGAAGATATGTCTAAATTGCCAATTAACTTACAATATCTTCCTGAAACTAAAACTCGAGAGACTGATCCAGATATAAGGCAAGTTATAAATTGACAGAGGAATGATTCATGAAATTAATACAAATAGATAATAATGTTATTATTATGTTATTTCAGACTTATGCTTTTAGAAGCATTAAATCAACTTTGTGCAACAAAAGTGGCTAGAGAAATATTGAGAAAAGCAAATACATATCTCATACTTAGAGAGCTTCATAAATGGGAAAAGGATAAGAACTGCTTATTGGCATGTGAAAATGTCGTAGATATTTTGATAAAGTAAATATTCATGATATAAAATAAAATTCCATATTCAGTTAATTGTAATTTTTTTACATAAAAGAAATGTATTTTTTTTATTACAGAACTGAAAAAGAAATCGGTTTGGACAACTTGAAGGAAGTAGAAGTGCCGTCTACATACACGGAGATGTTCCATAAAATGGATAAAGAGTTTATTAGCAATACATAGATAGTGCAAAAAATTATATTATAGGTACATACAATCAAAAGTCCGGCAACAGTCGAATATCTCGAAAGCAAAAAATTTTTGAGAAAAATGTTTCACACAAAAATGGTAGGGTTTAAAAAGATCTACTCACTGATTACATCCGTTTGACTTTGGGATGCGTCGCCCAAGGTTTAGTCAAGATCAATCGATTTTTTTCGACGGAATCCCTCCTCCCCCTATTTTTATTGCATGTTCTTGTAGTTCACCTCGAGAGCTTCATTTTTAGTACTTTTCGAGTTATGAAGCTTAAAAGTACTACCGGCGTTAGCATTACCCAAAGTGTCTGATCGACGGCTAAGACCTCTTGAAGGTTGTTGCTCTTATTTTAATTTTTACACTAAAAATTAATTTTTATGTAAAAATTAATTTTTACATAAAAATTAATTCAAACGGATGTGATCAATAAGTAGATCCTTTTAAATCATACAACTTTTATCTGAAACATTTTTCTCAAAAATGCTTGTTTTTTTTAGATATTTAACTGTTACCGAACTTTTAATACATCTTATATAATAATATTCTATAGGTATTGCACATATAGTGTATACATAATACTTATCTAATGAAGAAACGAAAATGGTAATTTATAATACATTCGATTTTTCGTATTTCTCGTATTGCACTGTTCCATATCGTTAATAATAAGCTATCAGGTCCAACGTAGCAAAAAAAAAATCATAACTTGATCTTTATCGCTTACAGTAAACGCTATAGTCTTTAAAATTAGAATAAAGTATATAAATAATTTTTCATTTACTGTAAAATTTACGCTAAAATCTCTCAAGATGAAAACAGGTACAAATAAGTAGTTGCATATTATTTATCGAGAAACGACTAATTAAATCACGATATGTTCGTAAATAATTCTTTTTCGATCATAGTGCGAAATGGCAAGATGTTATACAAACACGTATAATATCATAATATTAAATATTAAATATGCGAGATTATACCGTTGGAGATAATTTGGATACTTTCATCAAGGTAAATAACCCAGTCCAGCTTCAAGACTAATCGAACTTCTTATGCTCGACGCGTTACTAGTTCTTCTTGAGATCCGATTGTTCTCGCCTGCAAAAACTGCGGCGATCTCTGCGCTTTTTTTTATGGAGAGTGCTTCGTGATGCGCTCCGGATCTCCCGTTACCGCGAGAGGAATACTTTTTATCTCGTTCCGCACCACCGACGTAAACCAAACGACCCTGAGTATCCCTCGCGCTGACCACGAGGACTTTCTCGCTGCCGGACGACTGCTGAGATCTTCTCCCTGGGCTAAAGAGATCGTAATCTAAGGCCAAGTTATCCGAACTACCGCAAGCCGGCGATGATCGATTCTGCAATAGAATTTGTGCAGAGAAATTTTAATATACGGCTACAAAATTAAAATAAAATAAGATCTTAATCACATAAAATTTCTTAGCTACCTTGAGAAAGTCGGTGTTGCGCGATGAAGTATGACTACCGGCCAATCTCGAACTTCGGATCCTCTCGGAACTGTCTCCTCTGCTAAGCGTGCTCTCCGATGGCACGATTCCCTTCTGCCTGAGTTGCTCCAGTATAGTCGGTTGTATCGGCTTTCTTGCGCAGTAACACTTATTGCTCTCGGAGCAACTGTCAGTGTCGCAGGCGCAAACAACCGTATTTCCTGGTACAGGCGTAGGCTGTACCTTTCTAGACAACGAGCAGTAGCATTTATCCGCCGACACGCATGTACACGACTCGGAGTCGTAGCTGCATTCGCTGCAGCTCACGTATCCGCTGCTGCTCCTATTCGCAGTGGCACCCATGCTACGATTGAGTCGTCTACCTGCGTAGTTTTTTATAATTATATTATGTATTAATAAATATAAATTATGTTTAGATATTTGGTTATTATATTGTTACAATAATATATTTTATTATTATTGTTATATCATTCTATTGTTATAATATGTTTTTTGTTTTACTTGGTTACGTGTAGAAAAAGGAAGCTACCAAAGATCTAGATATAATAAAGATTAAATTTGGATTTTAATTGCAAGAAGACTAATTTTAATTACAATATTTCTACGTACATGTATCGCTATCTTCTGAAGTCGTGTGACACACTCCATTCTTTTTCGTTCTCCGCGAAGATTTTCTCTTACCGAGTCTACTCGCCAGTACACGATTTCGGTGATTATTTCTGACGTCACACGACGAACTACTGCCAAAGCTATCATTCAATCTCCTAGCCGGGAATATTACGGAGGTGAACTCCGTGGGGCCACCTTTCAGTCTCGAGACCGACCTCTTTATGGCCCTGCCTAATAAACAAGACCGACGGCTCGATCTTCGTCTTTGTGGTCTCCGTCGTCTCTTCATAATACTGGCGGATCTCTGATACAATTCATCTTGCGTTAAGGTTGCGGCTAGTTTCAGTAAAAACTCCTTGTAGAGCGGCTTCAGATCGTTAAATGACATACCTTCTGGATCTGGGAAATCAAGGAAATAATTCGATTAAAATTTTTTTATTTAATTACATTCTTGTTTTATATAGATTATTACCTATTATGGCTGCCAAAATGTCATCTACACTAGTCAAGCCCTCCTGATTCCTGAATTCGTCAAACAACTCCGTGAATCCAAGCGGAGTACCTCCTTTGATGTTATTGGTTCTCCGAGTGCTTCCGGAAGTCAAGAAACTGCCTCTCCTAGGCAACTCAACCCTTGTCATCAGGTCTCCTCTATCCACGTCTACGTCGCTCTGCGATCTCTTCAGTGCATTCTCCTGCAGGATCCTGTTGGCATTCTCCGAATGGCTGACGGGTGGCTCGCTGCCCGCTCTGCTTCTTCTTCTCACCCGAGGACGATTGCACTCCGACAGCGAATAATCAAGATCTAATTGTTCTTTTCTCAACGGTTTATCCATTGTGACAATTCGGTTAATTCTTTTGCCGGAGTGCGCTCTCTCCGGGTCCCTCGAGCGTCTCTGTTGGTTTATCGTGCCATCCGAATGTTCGTGATGCGACTGATAGTGTCCATTATTCTTTAAATTCTTTGCGAAGAAGATGTCTTCTTGACGACTCCTCGTCTCACCATTTCTGTTGTTTTTACCTGTGTCTTCCGTACCGAGACTGTAGATCTTATCAGCGTCTTCAATTTGCGAACTGTAAATATTTTTTTCCTTCTTTTTGCCAACTTGCTCGTAAACGGAGTTTATCTCGTTTCTTTCGATTTTATTAACCTTATCGTACATCAAAACGTTGTCGGTTCCGGAAGAGTACAATTCGCAATTCCTGGCATTCGCTCGATTCAAAGCGTACGATCCGTAATTTCTTTCGTAAATGTTATCTTTCATGTCCACTGATTCCCTCCTCAGATTGTGATTCCGTTTGTGCAGTTTCTCGTATTTGTTCAACTGTCTTTCATAAATTCCATTCGCATCGTTATCAGGAGCACTGTAAATTTTATCAAGCTTGTTAGATTCTATCTCGATTCTCAAGGAATTTTGATCCTTAGCGGAAAACATCTTGTTCTTCGAATTTTGTAGCTCCTCGTTTCTAGACAATACGATATCTCGATTGTTCTGTCCCAGATTGCTCTTCTCGCTCTTGGCATTGTCTCGCCTTCTTCCGCGCGCCTCAAGGATATCTTCCGCTTTCACGTCGGAATTCTTCTTTTTTCTACGTGGTACTTTCTGCAAGCTAGGCTTTCCGCCTTCATCCTCAGTAACGGAGCTGCTTACAGAAGTCTTCTTGGTTCTGGGTGGTCTCACAGGATGCGGTGCGGTTGGTCTCGGTGGCGGAGGTAGCCTGTAACTGATTCTACTGCTGAGACTAGGCTCTCGAACACTGGAAACAACGGAGGCCAGGCTGACGCATCCGACACCATTCGTGTGACGAGGTCGTCGTCGGTTCGCGTCTAGATCGGCGAGAAGAGCGCGATACAACGTGGCCGCGGCTGCTATTGCATCTTCCTCGCATTCGCAGGCGAACGCGTGACACTCCAAGAGCCTGGCGGCCCCAGGTCGTCGCATTACCACGGCGAAAATCGGAGGATAGAATTCCACTTCACTTTTCAAACCTCGCATTGTCCTAAAAATAGAAATTAAAAATTAAAAATCGATTTCAGTTATTTAAGTAATCTTTAAACATGCAAATATGTTGTAAACAATATAATAAGCAGTAAATCTTTGAGTTTCAAAAAATCAATCATAATAATATATTATTATTGGTGGTATTATTAATTATAATATAATATTCACCTGTAGAGATCGGCGTGCTTGTCTTCCATCGTCTGTCCCTGGTCCTGATCGCCAACCAAAGGCAAGAAGGCGTGATGCACATCGCCCGACGGTATTCTCTTGCATCGAAGCCGCAAGGCACTCCATACCGCTATTCTGCGGAAAGGATTATTCTTTTCGCAGACTTCGCTCGTGCGGAACGTTAGTCCGCGCCTAGAGACCTCCAGCTCGGCTCTTACGCATCCTTCCATGCGTTCCAATAGCTGACGAAGAGGTTCTTGAAGACCCCGCACACTCGCCACGCGTCCGCCGACTGGGGCAGCACCCATGTATTTTACCTGTGTATATGTATATACATACATATATATATATATATATATACAGAGTGTCTGGAAATAATCGCCAAATATTTCATGGGCAAGTAGAGAAGACTAAACTGAGTCGAAAAGTCCTCTATCATTTCGCAATAGTTAACAAGATATTAATTACTAAAAATTGCCAAATTGGTCTTGAATAATTTTTTATTCAAATACTATCAACTTTAAAAAAAAATTGTAAGAGACAAAAATCATATATTTTCTTCTCATAAAGTTCTGAGAATTTTTTTAGAATTTTTTCATAATTTTTTAATATATTCCGTATTTTCTCATGTTGATAAAAATGAGAAAATGCAGTACTAAAAAATTCTGAAAAAATTTTTAGAACTTTATGAGAAGAAAATAAATAATTTTACCTGCCATGATTACCTGCCCATGAAATATTTAGCGATTATTTCCAGACACCCTGTATATATGAAAAAAAGTGCAAATATTTTAATTATCCCAAAGAACATAATTTTAATAAAGAAAGAAAAGCTCAGAAAAAAAATAATTAGAAATACGCCCAGCTGAATATCTGTTTTTTATCGTCTGAAATATGCATTTCAGTATGATTGAGAATGAAAAGTCAATGAGGTTTTGAATAGGGTAAAAATTGTTGTTTACTTCAAATTACATTGTAAGAGACTGACGTGTTCATGTAAAAATAGCGTTTGATAAAAAGAGCATTCATTCTTTTTGCGTGTCTGAAAGCAGCGGGAACCTGTTTTGTACGATGGGCAATATCGAAGATAAACAGGTGAAGTCGTTAAACAGGAATTTTGTTGCACAATTTGAACATTTTTAAACTAGTATCTCTGAGGAATTTTTTATTGCGTCGCCGCTTTTAATATCTCTGGAATGTATTAAACATTATAATATATGTATCTTGTAATGTATATGTATTGTATATAGTTTGAATCGTGCTTTACATAGGATTCCGTTTCTGCGACGAAAAATAATGATGTTAGATTTTATCATAGAATTATCATATAATTATCTATAATTATCTATGAAATCCAAGGTTCGAATTATGAAGAGGGAGGCATGACTTGGCCGCAAAGAAGAGTAACAAGCAGCTGTTGTGTCGTTCTGATCGAATGCCACGCCTAAAACGGATCCTCTCATCAGATTCTCTGATGTAACTGTATTGATTGATCAGCAGCTTCTTTTGTGAGCTCCAATCAAAGTGTGTGAAGCGAGGCGGAACAATGCGGCGGAGCCCATAAAACGGAATACCATGTTGGCGGCGATAAAGAATCCACATACCGGTGTAACAACTGAAGGAGAATTTTTCAGCGCTCCGAATAGTTTATGGAAGTCCGTCACGGTTTGCGAATCGTGAACGGAATGAAAGTGACGATTAAAAATTCCGGATCGACGCCCTGAGGAAAGTTGGAGGACTTTTCGCGACCCTTTTCCGCGAATCAAGGCACGTCCGCGAGAGAATGGCAATTGCAATACTGCAACATGTGATATGCATGCTGAATGTAGATCGGATCACATTTTTTATGTATAAAAGTACTCAAGGTTTCTTGGAAAATGCATTAATTAACTGTATTTTAATTATAAGATTCTACAACATAATTGACTATTTATAAATCTATTGTAACAATATATTATTTGTATACTACTATGATTTCTAAATTATAAGCCTCTTATGCGAATCTATTTATAATATGAAAGCATTTTCTTCGCCAATTAAAAATATTTTTATATCGCGCATTACAATCTGTTAAAATCTTAATTAAAGTGATATTATCAGCTAAATAAACATACTAATGCATGACTTAATTAACATGTCAAAAAAAATAATTCTGCTGTGCAAGACCGATTAAACTTCAAAAGATTTGATACCATCTCTCTCAAGTTAGATATAAGAGATCTAATCTATAAGAGAATATATAATTTGCTTTCTCTCCTAATTTTTACAATTCTATCTGTATATACTATACGTTGTTTGTTCTTTAAAAGCTCACTGAGCGATTCTTTCCTTTCTAACGAACAACCAGCTCACGAGTAATTATACATCGATCTCAATTTTATTTCTGACACGGAATCATCACGATTGTTAGGGTGATCTAAGAATTCCTGAGGTGGAAAATATACCATTCGACGTGCTCCTTTTCATGAAGCTTTCCATCGATCTCAAGTCTGAGATCCTTGATGAAGAACGAAATATGTAAGACGACTTCGATTTTTTAGACAAAATAAGAAAAGCGAATTGCCCAATAAATGACTTTAATTAATTGTAATCGCGAGAAAAAATGATACGTACGTATTAGAATTATATTTTTGCTCGAAGAAAAAACTAGATCATCCAAATGCATCTATATTTCGTGCATTCCTATATTTTAGTATCTTTTTAATCTGCATCCAGTTGAAATTTGAGATACTTAAGCAAAATCTGTTTTTTTTTCGTGCACAGTCCCTTAGAAAACGGAAACAGAACGATCATGTTCGGCTACGCCGATTTGCGAGATTTTTCGAATGAGAGAGAACAAGTGTGTTTGCAGATGTGCAACGTAATTAACATAAGTGAAATTGCAGGCGCACACGTTCCCGCTACGTACGATTTAATCTTCGCGAGATTCCCGAACCTAAATCCTCCGACGACGCTTGAGCAAAAGTGGCGTGCGGACCTCTTGCAAATGCTCCACGTGCATAATTATTTGTGTCATTACCGGCAAGATTGCGGCGGCACATTCACCGGGCGTTCCACTTTCGGCCTCCACCGAGGCGAACATCGCCTCGATGCGTGCCTGGACCGCGCTGTTCACCCTCTTCTGTTCCTCGTTCGCATCGTTGGGGTTACTCGGGATCACGACCGACAATCCGGCGTACCACCCTCCCAATGTCGAGCTGCAGATGGATCTGAAACAATAGAGATTCATTAATGAAAAAGAGGAAAATGAAAAAGAGGAGTAGTGCAAGGTGTTAATGTTTTATGCTCTAATTGGTCAAATATATTATAATAATGTAATTAATACATGGAAAAAATATTTTTGCTGATGTCTCTACAAACTTAACCAGATTTAAAAATAATTTTGTTGAACCGTCAAAATAATTATGTAGAAAACTCAACCATAATGAGTAACGTTGCAAGAAATTTTGATATTCTCTGTTGAAAGAAATGTCTTTGGTTTTTATGCTTATATAATAATAACGTAAATATTACCATTAATTATTATTTACTAATATTGATTACAATTCTATCAACAAATGTGTATAGTTAGTATCAAGAAATGTATAATTGTTATAACTAATTAGTATCATAAAAAATGATTGCAATTATTATAATTTAACTATTGCAGTCAGTTTTGGGATAACCATATTTTATATACAATCATCTTGAACATCCTACATAATTTTAGTGATAACAGAGCAATAAGAACGTTTGCGATATGATGTATTCTCATGGTGAGCTTCCTTACTTTCATTGTGATTTAAATTTATTAAGGATTTCCAAATTTCATCTCTATATAAAGTTAAAAAAAATATATTTTCTTTTCTTTTCTTTTTAACACTCATCTGAGTTTAATTCTTGTATACAAATTTTTCATGTAATGGAGGGAGTTCACTATGACAAAGTAGTTATTATGTATACATTGTATTTATAAAGTTGATTTATGTCTTTGAAAAGGTCATCAAAAATGAGCCAAAACATGTAACCGCGTTATTTTAAAGTTAAAGTTTTGTGTTATATCTGTATATTATTTGTGCAACAACTATCGCGCCTAATTCCTATTGTTCTGTTATCGCTAAATTTCTTTTGAACAGTAAGGAATGCTACATAATTATTTTGTAACCCAACAAAAGTATTTTCGAATTTAGCTAATCTTTTAAATATTTCAACAAAATTGTTCTTTCCGAGTAATTAAACAATTTAATAAAAATAAAAAATAGTGTAAGAATAATGTTCCTTGTACGTTAAAATTAGTTAAATGCAATTATAACAATTTAATAAATTTGATTTACCTGGAGTCTTCGAACAGTGCGTCGATCTGTGCTTTGCTCCTGAGAGAACATTCCGATGGTGGCCCACCCAATCGAAATCCATCCTCGTAATGAGATATCCCTAAAATCGACATGTTTTATTTGAACGTTACGCAATCCGTTCGAGATGCGTGTGTTTGCAAATTGTTTTTCTATTATGTTGTCTGACGTCATTCGTTCTGAAAAGAAAATGCACATTATTATTGCGTTGGCCTCAATTAGAATTATTAAAAGAGAATTATCATAGTTGATGACATAACTGACACTATTTTTTTTTATCGAGCGTATCTATATAAGAGAACTCGTACATGGTGATTATTTGTACTTGCTTGTTCTAACAACCTTGTGAACGTTAGTCAAGGTTTCTTGAATGACCCGAATACGATATTAATGATATCAAAGAAAAAGTTGTTAGGACTACACACACGCGTAAGTCCTTCGGGTTTTCTATTATTCGCGGTATTCATTATCGCGGCTACGTCGTGGTGCGTTAAATTTATTCCAGCACTAGGCGATGCGTGAATAATTAAAATCGTACAGATAGGACCAGGTTAACCTCGATACTTTTACACACACGAGATAAGCGGGTAAGCAACGGTAAAAGTGATCAGAGATCAGGACAAAAGGAAAATGTGAATAATAAGCTCGTGATCATCGATGCGAGAAAGATGAAACGGTTGATCGCGGCAGCGGTGGCGTTCTGAATATGCTTGCACGTGATATCGCTATTATGCAAAAGTTAGGAATGTACTAATCAATGTATTAAGTGATGAAAGTTTTTATTATTACACATATAAGCGCAAATTGGAATATTTTATTCCTTTGTGTTGAATTAATAGCAAGGTCATTGTCCCGTAAACTAGAAATTGTAAAAAATTATTCACGAAAAAAAAAATATATATATATATATATATATAGAAAAATTGCGTGTTATCCTCTGCCATGGATTTCACCGGCAATTGAAACTGTACGCATTTCTTCATTAAGATAGTATGCTGTTTTTTTTAATAACTCTCGAGAAAACGGTGCTGTCGTCCAAGTGCGAAGACAGTTTCTATAAATTTACAAAATATTCGCTATATAGTTTTTAAAGTGATTTTCTTCTTGAAGAAGAGTATAATAATTATATATATTTTGTCAAATTTCATAATTAAAATTATATTTTTTAAAATCAAAAATTTTAACTATATATTTATACTTTACATATAAAAATATTATTAAACACCAAGATCTAGCCTCGATTATGTTGATATTTTCTTTACATTTGGTAATTTTTTTTCAAAAAATTTAACTTTTACAAATCTACTTAAAATTAAATTAACATTTAATGATTTAATGTAGTACACAAAATGTATTTAATACAATTTTTAATAAATTAAATATTTGCATTTAACACATAACAAATTAACATTTTACATACTTATGCAAAAATTACAAATTACAAATTTCATATTACTAAAAAGATGTACTTTTGCGATGAAAATATCGCATGTACAAACTAGATGTTGCGCGATGTCTGTATGACTGCTCACAGTTAGGCTTTACAGTTATGGACCAGCTGGATGTGGCGGTAACCTGGACCAGCCGGTAGCCGAAAGGTGTCAATGTTGAAGACTGGGCTCTAAGATTACGTACGCAATCTGGAATAACTGTCAATGCGTGCCCCTCTCGTGAATCTAAATGTTGACCTCACGTGCTGACCGTTCGCGAGATTCGTTATATGATGGAATCTATTGCTAAACACCCAAGAAACACAACAAATCACGATAAGATCATTACGTCAAAATGATGTCGTTTTATCGTGACTCGTTGTGTTACTTGGACTATAATTACGATTGGTTACGGATTGATCGGAGCAATCGGCATCGACGGTATTAAAAAAAAAGAAAAAAAAATAGAAACTACGTCACGATAATCATTGATGATAGAATAATTAACAGAATGATTAACAGAGCTTGCAGCCGCATGCACGCCTTGTTTAATCGAAACGGAAGTTTTCTCTCCGCGCTCTACTCATCGCAAATAGCTTTCTGACATTCAATTTTCGCTTTATATGGCATAAAATGTGCGTTGCCACTCATTATTTCGTGAGATCGCTCGCAAGGAGACTGCCTCCTTGCTCATTGCCTGAAGCCGACCCTAAATAATCACCGCAGGTGAGCTTGATGCCGGCGACCCAGTTTTCAGTTTGCACGCTATCGTAATCACCGCAGCAGCACGAATCTACTTGATTGACGTTATTAACAGTTTATGACTACGCATTGAGTTAGGATGACGTTTGAAAAATTAGATGATAATTATTAAGCGCCACGTGAGGATGCGAGATTTGAAGGCAGAAATGTTGACGGAATCGCAGGGTGGACGGGAAATCGCATGAAATAAAACCTCATCATTCTCATCTGCCGAAGAGATATGTCCATCCGTTTTTCTCGAGACTCGAGAGCAGCTCCTTGTTTTCATAACTGTCGAAGCGTTTGCGACACGTTTAAGACAACGGTATTAAGGTCGGTGAACAGATTGCGGCATCACGTGTCAGTGCGTCGTAGACGAGAGCTGGTTGATATACGCGCTTGACTTTGATGCGTGTGCGTCGTTCAACTTGCAATTACCAGATTCACGGTTCGTTTCCCGCCTGCATCTGCTTTAATGGATATCGAACCGGCCGATAATCACATGCGTGAGACATACATCTCGGTACATCATCGCTTCGATCGCCAAAGGATCATTTTCTTAGCGGTTTTAAGAGGCACGACGGTTCCGGGAATTTTAGAAACTCAGTAATTATCGAGCGCAACTGGGGATTTCATTTATTCGGGACACGCATATAGCGGTTGTTGATGATAAAATTTTAATCGAAGAGTGAATTTTATAATCGTGCTCCGTCACGCATAATAATACGATTGTTACAATTCGGTGTTAAGTTGAAATTAAGATTTATACATTCGCAAGGTACTGTTACGTGTCGTACTAGATATTTAGAATGAAAATAAGATTTATCTTTCTTTCTAAAAAATTCGGTGTATTTATGTCACAATCGACATTCGAATATACCTGTTTGTTCCTTGTCAATCATCAAGTGTGCTCCGAGATGCTTAACCATCCGATAGCGTCACCGCTCTTAGCACTGGTCTCAATCGTTTGCACTGTCATATCACCATCAGGTACAGAAATCTATCACGAGAATTAGCGATCCGGGGTCATTCGCGAGAACATGCTGCACCACGATAAGCTTCACTCATGATCGCTCGTCAATCCATCTTCTGGATCTTCTTTGGATGATCTTTGACGAGGATCCTCCTCCTTGCATTCGGCGACCTTGGCCGCGGCGAGTCGATCTGGATGACCGTCGACGTGAAACTGCCGGGGATGTTCTGCAGAAGAGACTTGAGTTCCTCTAGCTAGTGAGTCGGCGCCTTCGCGCCGCGGAACGAATAGGAGGAGAGGGATGAAGATCGACGAAGAGAGAAAGAGAGAAAGAGAAAGAGGAGCAGGAGACCTTCTCCCGATGTGCTCTCGGCCAACACCGGTTAACTCTCTCGTTGAATGTCCGGAAATCTCACTAATGATCCTACTGATAAAATAGACTGGCACGCCCACGATATTGTACTTTTGCTTGGATAAGACGCTTTCTTCTCTCGCCATTACATCCTCTATTATCTAAAGTAGTGTAGCTTCACAGAGAAATTTTTGCTCGTCGTTTTAAAGAGGCATTTAATTCATCTGGGTACCTTGATTTATGTATTCTGGAATAATTAAATTGAAATTGACTACACACTGAAAATAAGAAAATACTGAATTTTACAATAATAAATATTTGTTTGAATAGTACTAATTGAATATTTATTAAATGTAAACTTATATTTGTATATTTATAGCAAGAACCATTAATTTGATTTAATCATCTCTTTTTGTGTTTTTATAATGTTTACTAAGTGAATAGATAAATGTTAAGTGTGAAAAACTATTGAAAAAATATGTATTAAGGTTTAATAAATTTTTTTCTCAGTATAATAAGAATATAAGATAATTTTGTTAGGAATATTTTCCTTCTTCGTCCATAGCACGTTCTATTTGTTTTTTTTTTTAATATTATATTTCCAGTACGAAATTCTATTTTAATTGATCACACATTTTCCAAATGTTATCGCAAATGTTATTTAATTTTATCTCAATTTCTTTATTTTACTTGCATTTACATATAACAATCAAGTTTTAATTATTCTCTTGGGCGTGTACGTCTTCTTTTTTATTCGAAAAACAAATGATAAGAATTATAAAATTAGCTATAAAAAACTTTCTTTGAGATAAAACATATATGGTAAGTACATATACGATTGAAAAATCGACGATTTTACATGTATTACAATATTACATATCGCGTGTGTATCGGTTGACCGATATTCGACTGGTTTCGAGATGGGTTAGGTCGAATGGTGCCAAGAGGACTGGTAAGCCAACCAAAGAGAGAATTTCATAATCGGGTGAACCGTATGGCGTCGTCTCGATCTTCTCATTACCGCCGGTATGGCATTGGAAGCCGGTACGCTCGCTACGGTAACGTCGTAACCGGTAACGGTATCGTACTTCGACGATGTTCACCGGATGGCCGCACCAATGTGAGAGTACTGTTATTCCAACTATGCAGGCTCCGTGTATTCCCTCTCCATCTATTCCACCTCCGTCTCGCTCTTTCTTACAATTCCGCGATATACGTCCGGCTCAGTGTTACCGTTTACGTCTATCGATCCAATTTCTTTCTTTTTTCGGGCGAGGTTTTCGCTCCCGTTTCTCCGAGTGAATAAATGAATGAATAATGAATAACAAAACAATTATTCCTCATTGCGAAATTCATTACGTGTCATAATTTGAGTTACTTTCAAAATTAAACAATCGAGTAACGGTATTAAATGCCGAAATACGAAAAACGGTAAGTTTGTTAGTAATAGGATATTTCCAGAGAAAAATAATTGGCGCAATTCAGATAAAGTGACCATGCTACGCGTAATTTCTGGTCGCAATTTACTTTCATTTGCGTATTGTTAGCAGCTGCAACGCCCGTGGATGAGCACACGTTAACATTGCTAACATTAACTTTTAACTAATGGCGAGAAAGTCAAACTTCAGACATTATACTTTTAGACATTATACGTTTAAATTGTACATTATCTTTCTTTTATCCGCATTACAAAATTGTAGGCTAAAGCACTCGTGCATCGATGATTGCGGTGCTTTTTAATGCGAGCTACACTTTTCATCGCAATCTCTGTTTACTGGGTTAATTGTATGAATATCATTAATAAAACATAGAAATAACTGTTAAGGCTGTTATATATTTTAACAATTGCAGTATATAACTGTTTGCGCGTTAGTCTTAAAGAGAGTCGCGTCGCATCCTTTGAAGAACTCGTGAAATAAACAACGTGGTGTTTCCATCTAGGAATCGATGGAGACCCGTTATAGATAAAGTTAGCATAATAACTGCCGGTTTTATGCATCACGCGATTACTGACTACGTCTCAAAGGTATCATTCGGTCAACGGCAGGTGGTATATGCCTCGCAGTCACAGAATGTTTTGCCTTAGCGGGAGGCTATAGCGACTGCCAATTCCTTACGAAGGCAATCTCGCATCTGTTATGTTCATCCTTTGAAAATCATTGCGGATGCTGCACTTAAGTCGTAAGATACCTCCGATTAGGCGGCATGCTGCTGAAATGCCGTTGCACCGCTATTTCGCGGGGTCCAATTCATCAATCCAGTTGTTGTGATCCGTTCCATATCTGTCTGTCTTGTTTCTTGTTATACATATGCATATATAATCGGCATATAGAATCGGTTAAATATTTAATGAGAAGCATTTCTTAAGAGAATGTAAGAAATTAGGCAAATGAGAGTTCGGTGCGGTTTAATGCACGATCATTGATTATATGTATATATAAATTATACTTGCTGTACACTCGAATGTTTTGACCACTTCTTGGGATTATCCTCAGCGAGATGAACGAAGAAAGATAAAGTTTCTATCTTCCTGCGTATCAGACAAGTCCCTACTCAGCTGCGTATTTCCAAATATTTCACCATGGCCTAAAACCGGTGATGATTATAATGGAATAACAGATACCTATGAGATGTTAAGAATTAATGAATGATCCCAAGAAATGATTGAAACGTTCGTTTGTATAGCAAGTCAGATATAATTTATATGTACATATAATCAATGATTATGCATTAAGTACCGTACTAAACTCTCATTTGCCTAACTTTCTATATTATTTTAATTTCAAGAGTTCATAACTAGCATTTCTTATTTGTTAAGAGAATTTTGATTTTTGAATCAAGAAAGAACGAGATATTAATTATCTATAATTTTTATAATCAATTTTAATAAATTGCATTCAGTCATGATATCATAATATCCTTGTATTTTTAATTTCAATATACATACAAAATCAGTGGAGATCTCTGCAGTATGTGATTGTATAAAACTTTTAAAATCATTTAGAAGGATTCATAAGATATTTCCCAGGCGGAAGTATTGGCGCCTATCGATTTGTCACGCAGACAGGCTTTACAGCTGCTGCCTCGTCTTTTCTAAACACGGAGTTCCGTGTTTAAATGCCGTTTCTCCATTAGCTAATTGCGGAACCTCCCATAATTCACAATTATACGTTACTATTTGATAAAAAACTGCATTTAAAAAGTACTTATAACAGGAAATGACTTTTTTCGTCTGTTGTTAGAAATCAGATGAAATCATGCGCGTATTGAAAGCATTAAATTATTATGGAATATTGTTTTATTCAAATAGTCACATATTTTCATACAAATTGCAATTTAAGAGTCAAACTTCAAGTATGGAGAAAATAAATACAAAAAATTAATTAAGAAATATTATAAAAAATTCTGAATAAAATATTTTTATTATTTATTTTCAAAGTTTGATAAAAAAAAATAATCGTCTATCAAGATAGCTGGTCGCAGCCGGTCATACTTGTGGTATATGTATATCACTCATTAAAATCACCAAACATACCGTCTCTGAGCGGTGTAACCGCCGACATCTACCGGCGCGGCGAAATAACAAGATATTTCTTCTTTGTAGAAAGTAAATCAGGTCTCGGACTACTCGAACAAGGCCAGCAGACATTATTTCGGATGCTGTTGGTATATTAATTCATTCGCCATATCATCATCATGTAATTACCTCATCGGCGGTCACCTGTACTTTTCTCGTTAACCATGTATTCTGAATTTTTCTGTACTTACTTTACATCAACTCTCAACAACTATTCTGTTCTCTTCCTCGTCGATGCAGGACCTTTTCGCGACCCTGTTCACACGTTGTTCATACTCCAGATTCATGGATATGTGGATTCCAGTCGTCGTAATGTGCGTGCAATTACACAGTCTGCTTCCGTCGAAAAGGAACGTTCGATGGACCCATTGTCGGCCGAGACAAAAAGAAATGAAGAAGAGTAAGTCCGCAAGACTATAACTACGGACTTGAATAACAAATGGAATTTGCACTAATCTTATGTGAATGCAATAAAAAGATTACATTCAATGCTCTTTTTACTGACACACCTTGCTGAGTTATTCGATTGCTAAAGCTATATAATTATTATGCGCGAGCTAACATATTTCTCTCATATCATCTAAAATAAAGAAAAACATAAGGAATATTAATTAAGTGGCCCGGATGCAGATGGTACCGGAAATAGCAATCGGTTATTGTAATTGACATATATACGCCAACTACTTTGCGACTAACGATCGTCCGTTATTTCGCCATCTGCATCGTAAAGATTGTTAGGAATTAATTTTGCACGAGATATTAGAGTGCAATAATAATCATTCGGCGGAGGTTGGACAAATCGCGATTGACGTAGCCTGGATTATTAAAACTAATTTCGTCTCTGACCCGATTTCTTTACGCCCGTACGCCCGTACAAGCGAACACGGCTAACTGTAAATCGCAGAACCACCATCTAACTGTATTTCGAGCTTTTAGTTCGCGTGGTTACGTTACATTATTACAGGAATTTGAGAATGTTAAGGTCGACACCGCTAATCAACGATCCGTGAAGGCCATTGGGTGTAGCACGCTATTTAATATCAAAATTTGTATTAAAAGATACCGAATCGCGAAATTTCGTGGTAGCTGGAACGAGTTCCACTCTCACATTCTCGTTAATCGTGCTTCTTCGACGAATGTTATTGCTATTTCGTTCCACTCGCATCACAAATAGTTTTGGTTTACTGTATTATTTATTTTGAAGTAAAATAGTATAGCGTAAATATTTCTCAACGTAATTTTATTAAGTGATTTCACAGTGAGATAATCT